GAGGAATATAGGAAAGTTCAAACAATAAAACCAACTAACCTATTATTAATNAGAAATGTTAGTAGTAGAGGAATATAGGAAAGTTCAAACAATAAAACCAACTAACCTATTATTAATTTACAATAATGAAGAATCATGTATATATACGTTTGATAACTCCAAACTGATTCTCCTTTTTTTGCCAAATCCCCAAAAATGAAATGGAAACAAAATGCAGTCCCAAACATGTGGCCAGATGTGTGTGTGTGTGTATGTGTATATAAGATGAAATGGAAATAGACAAAAATGAAATCAAAACAAGAACAATAGTTCATAACATGCATTGGAAAGCATATTCTGAACCAAGATATTTGGAAAACAGATTCTGAACCATGGACTATGACTTTGTTCTTATAGCATGAATAAGTTTATATTTTCATGTTGTAAAGTTGTAATTTAGCACAGATCAAATCAGTCCAGTCCAAATAATCAAACAAACCAACAATTTGAATTTTTTATTAAAAATAGAAATTGCTTGATATCAAGAATGCAGACCGAAAAATTATCCAAATAATCAACCGAGCAAGAAATGTTAGTAGTAGAGAAATATAGGAAATCAAACAATAAAACTAGCTAACCTGTTATTATTTTACAATAATAAAGAATCGTGTATATATACATTTGATAACTCCAAACTGATTCTCCTTTTTTTGGCAAATGCCCAAAAATGAAATGGAAATAGAATGCAGTCTCAAACATGTAGCCAGATATATGTGTGTGTGTGTGTGTGTATAAGATGAAATTGAAACAAACAAAAACAAAATCAAAAGAAGAACAATAGTTCATAACATGCATTGGAAAGAAGATTCTAAACCAGGGTATTTGGAAAGGAGATTCTGAACCATGGACTATGACTTTGTTCTTATAACATGAATAAATTTATATTTTCATGTTGTAAAGCTGTAATTTAGCATAGACCAAACCAGTCCAGTCCAAATAATCAACCAAACCAACAATTTGATTTTTTTTTATCAAAAACAGAAACTGTTTGATATCAAGAATGCAGACTGAAAAATTATCCAAATAATCAACCGAGCAAGAAATGTTAGTAGTAGAGGAATATAGGAAAGTTCAAACAATAAAACCAACTAACCTATTATTAAT